ACATGGCAGGGAAAGAATGAGAAACACAAGGGAAAACAATGATTTACATTGATATAACTATAATATGAAGTAACATACAACTAAAACAACAGTTGGATAGCTATTCCCTACTTTATTGGTTAGGATTTTTAATTGCATAATGCAAACTGTTGATTTTCAAAATAAAATAAAAAAACGTTCATGCCCCGCATTCCAATGCTGGAGCAGAAAAGCTTGAAATACCTACCAAAACACTTGAATAAAGACATACTGTCAGTATGGAAATGCTCTGTGCAGGTGTTAATCAAGTTAAATCCCAACAGCCAATCAGCAAGAAATGCTCTGTGCAGGTGGAAATGCTCTGTGCAGGTGTTAATCAAGTTAAATCCCAACAGCCAATCAGCAAGAAGTATAGAGGAAAGCTGCATGCCTATTGGTTGATGCCCTGCATTCCATTGTGATGACTCATGCCCAGACGTGGTAAACACGGCACACTAACACAGTAATACATTTGCTATAATACAGCCAAAAAACTCAAATAAAACCATTCTAGAAGCTTGTATCACAAAAATTTACAAAACGCCAAAGGGTATTTGCCCACTGTACCTACATACCAAATTTCAGGACCTTAGGCCCTAAAATGAAGAAGCTGAATCCATTTAAAAAATGGCAGGAGAAGGAGGAGAAGGAAAAGGAGGAGAAGAAACATCAGAAAAAGCAATATGGGTTCACCACCACTTCGTGGTGTGGTGAACCCATAAATATTATAAGTATATCAGTGCAAGGAGGCGCAAAGGTTCTCCATTTTGGAGCTATATTTGTAACCTGAATAAATTAACCTTCAAATTTCTAATCATAGGATGTATGATGAAGATGAATCTTGTAATATCATAAAATTAAAAAAAAACATATTTAGAAAGTAAGCAGCCTAATATCTTTGCTGACAAATACATTTTCAGGTAATAATATAATAATGTCATTTTCATTGTAGCAGCGAAACGTTGTAAAATCAAGACATGTTTTAAGAGTAGTGTTGATGATCCATTGTACAGTCTTACTTAAAGCATTGTAGAGCAAAACTTGCGAGCTGTTTCCACTACGGGTTCTCGTAAGTAATATTAGACTTTGAATTTACAATGAATTTACAAGTCAACTTTACGATAAACGTATCCTTATTTTATTTTCAAAGTTACTTAATCAATCATTATGTAGCCAAATGGCGCTGACTAATCAAAGGCCCCCATTTCCTATGCGTTGCCAGGCCGTAACCTCAAAAGTGATCCGCTTTTTGGACCGCACCATTGGGGCACATGACGCTAATAGTAATGTTAAGTAGTCGTCTATTTTATCTATTAAGTAACGCCTTGTACTTTATTTTTAACAATTTTTTTTTATTTTATTCAAGTACAACATAAATAAAAAGATATCTTTCCAACCTGATGAAAATATTCACAGATGATTATGACTACAGTTGTGTGCAAGAAGATTAGAATGATCTAGGGCTCCACGATCTTATATCTTCGCCAAATGACAACTTTCATGAATAACGAATTATATATTTTCCCCTAATTATGCCAGTAAAATCCCCACTTGAATCATATCAGTTAGTCGTATCATCCACTCAAAAATGCCATTCTAGCATTCTCTCATAAATTGTTCAAATGGGATCCTTATTTCAATAAGTTGCCACTGTAACAATCACGATTGTAACAATGTAACAGTGTAAAGCATTGTAACAATCACGACTGTAACAATGTAACAGTTTAATACCACTGTAACAGTCAAGACTGTAACAGTGTAACAGTTTAATACCACTGAACAATCACGACTGTAACAATGAAACAGTTTCATACCACTGTACCAATCAAGACTGTAACAATGTAACAGTTTAATACCACTGTAACAATCACGACTGTAGCATGTAACAGTTTAATACCACTATAACAATCACGACTGTAACAATGTAACAGTTTAATACCACTATACCAATCAAGACTGTAACAATGTAACAGTTTAATACCACTGTAACAATCACGACTGTAACAATGTAACAGTTTAATACCACTGTAACAATCACGACTGTAACAATGTAACAGTTTAATACCACTGTAACAATCACGACTGTAACAATGTAACAGTTTAATACCACTGTAACAATCACGACTGTAACAATGTAACAGTTTAATACCACTGTAACAATCACGACTGTAACAATGTAACAGTTTAATACCACTGTAACAATCACGACTGTAACAATGTAACAGTTTAATACCACTGTAACAATCACGACTGTAACAATGTAACAGTTTAATACCACTGTAACAATCACGACTGTAACAATGTAACAGTTTATTACTGCTTTAACTATCAATACTGTAACAATGTAACAGTTTAATACCACTGCACCAATCACGACTGTAACAATGTAACAGTTTAATATCATTGTAACAATCACGACTGTAACGATATAACAGTTTAATATCGTAACAATCAAGACTGTAACAAGGAAACAGTTTGTTGCCACTGCTACATATCTGCTGTCAGTCATTGAGAATGCATTAGATTTTGTGCTCTTTGTAGATTTTTTAAAATAAATAAGAACTATTATGGTTCAATGCCGACCTCTGACTTTTCAACCGTGCACGGCGGTCTGTTACTACGCTATTCGTTTCCGTTGCTAGGGGCGTTGTTTTGGACTACCCGTAAAACATTTAAAAAGAAATAAATAGTATTGGAGGATAAATTCCGTCAAAATAAAATTAAGCTATCGTCTTGACATAGTTCTAATGTTAGTTGTACGCTAAAGTAATAATATATATGGCCTCCGTCGGTCAATACTGACCATGGTAAACCTCCTTAATTACTACGCTAAATTACTGTTTTTTTAAATCTTCAAAAGACGATTTTTGTCTGGATTCGGAGCGCCAGGCCGAGTTCATAGGCAAACACCGTTTAAGATTGGCTACGTATATCACCCTAAATCCCCAATTTTTACAGTTTTTGACGTCTAGGAATATAATGAAAAATCGAGTCTTTGGAATTTTTGATTTGAAGTATAGTTTTTGCCAACAAATTGGTGAAAATTTTTTTTTTTTTACATTTTTCGCACTCAATTGCTCATAATTCAAAATCAAGGTCATTTTTTTAAATCCCTAAGACACGATTACGGGCAAACCCATTACGTTCATTTTAAGCCGTCATGAGATATATCACTTCTTGAATTGAATTAATTCCACGCTAACGTTATTAATGAATTTACTTACATTTAGACGGAGATAACACTTATTGTATACAAATAGGCAAAGGTATGAAGTCGTGGAACTCTATTGAAATCTATAACGCCGTAAGATATTTTCTCCAACATTCGCATTACATAAATGTACACAATATATCTCGCAGCTTGTGGGCAAAAGATCAAGGGATTGAGTGAATGAGTGAGTGAGTGAGTGAGTGAGTGAGTGAGTGAGTGAGTGAGTGAGTAAGTGAGTGAGTGTGTCAGTGAGTGAGTGAGTGAATGAGTGAGTCAGAGAATGAGTGAGTAAGTGAGTGAGTGAGTGTGTGTGTAAGTCTGGGTAGGACGACAGAGGTCCCTGTCGTGTCATTGTTACGTACGTGTGCAACATTCATGTAGTGAAATTGACATGGTCGCGACGTCAGTGTCAATAGCCGTTAAGATCTGGAACCAATTGTTTCTTACCATGTGTATGTACAATCAATTGGGCATTGTTCACTGTAGCACATTATAAAAACAATGTATCCACGACTCCAGTCTAAATTCTAAAAAAATTCATCTTTCTCACAAGATCTACAAAGAGTGGACTTCTTCTGATAAAGTAATCCACGTGACCTTCTGGTAGCCAGACAATCATTGCGGGCGTAAAAAACGACAAGTAGCGGTAAACGTTTTTAAATAC